AGACTAATTCGCTGATATCTTCAACTAAGAATTTCCTCAAGTACATTTTTGAGTTTGAAGGCATTGAATGTGCACTAGTGTGTGACAAGTCTGACAACACTTAAGAACATTTATGTGTGTTGTAGGCACATAAAATGTATTTGTGTGTTCAATATGGTTCAATGTGTTATGCATTGAACTTTTTCACACACGTGGGTGCATGAAAATATTCATGCAGTAAAATATTCTCAATGGATTGAGTTACAATAAGCTGTAAGTTGAACCTTTTATAAAGCATATTCCAAAAAGTTTCCATGTTTGGTTTGTAACAAAATGATTAATCTTTTCCAACCAACCAGAAAGGGATAAATTAAACTTCTAGAAGCATCTAAAAACATGAAAATATTCTAAGTTTGAGGAACAGGAAAAAATTTTGAGCATACATCTGCTGAAGAACATTGAGAATGCAAGTGGTGATGAATTAAACAAAATTTTTGTTAACATTTTTACATATAAAGCTTTATGGGAGGCATTTAAAAAGCCTTCTGTTTCTTGAAAAATTAAGATCCAATGAAGCAGGCATATAGTGAAAAAAAATTTTAAATCTTGAAAGGTGGGCTTGAAGAAAAGTTTCTCAGACTGAAAAAAACCTAACATAATGTTTTTCAGCATGAGAATATTTTTCTGAAGTGTAATTAAGAAAACAGCCAACTTATGTTTTCTGTAGATAGTTTCAACTACCATTTGTTTTTCCAAGGTTTCAGATGAAGGTAACAGAAATCATTGCTACTTTTCTCAATTTACTATTGATGCAGAACATTTCCTTTGGACAGGCAAACAAAATTCTGCGGACTGGCACCAGTCTGTGGACCATGGGTTTTGGAACACTGATTTAAACAAGATTTAAAAGAAAGATAATTTTATATTTTGAAGAAAATTTCATTGTATGGAGCACACTGATGGCTCACAGTTAAGCAGCCCATATATTGGCTCCACTGAGATGAACTCCAGAAAATTGTCTGCGTATGGCTTTGGAGTGAAGTCAAATGCCAATTTTTAATTGAATTATAAAAACCTGCTCATCTTCAGAATTGTAAAAATTAGCTGGTCAATTAGAATTCCAAAATTTAAATTATTTGATCGACCAAAAAAATATAAATGAAAAATAAAATTTATTATTGTTCAAGGGTTTGCTGGCTAATCTTCAGAATTGCAAAAATTTGCTAGTAAATTAGAATTCCGAAATATATTTATTACTGTATTTGAATTTCAAAGCAAATAAAAATGGCAAATAATATTCATTTTTGTTGGAGGGTTTGCTGATCAATCAATGGGGTTCAATCGAGGTGTGAAGCGTCACGCGGGTCCAATTCACGATTTCAGAGCCTGCAAGATTCAGAAGACCTTTTACGATCAGTATTTATCTTCACGTCATCATGGACAACATGTTGAACCATCTGCGAGGTTTTTAAATTTTTTTTCAACAACATTGAACATTGAGTATTCCAGAAACTTTGATTCATCGCTTTTTTTTTTAGGTACGAAGGCTTTGGACATTGCCCAGCATGTACTGGCCGAGTCATGAGTTATTCTCGAACCCCCATCTCGAAACTTCCGGTAATTATTGCAACCCCATTTACACCATTCATGACGCATTCCAAGAAGTGTTTTTTGTCTTTGTTTGTGGTCGTGGAACGCTATCTCAGGGAAAATGGAACGAAGGGTTTCTTGGAACTCGAATTCAACATCACGATGATCATCAGCCAAGATTTCTACAACACCAATCCACGTGCAGACGCCATCAGCGATATGAACAATGAAAAGACCCGTGTACACGATTGATCCAAAGTATTTCGGAATGGATTTGCATTTTATAACTATATATACTCCTTCTTTTTCCGTACACCACGATTATTTTTTTTGATCGAGGGGAAAACCTTACAACCCCGCCGCGAATAAAATGGAACTTCATCCGCTTCACCGAGTTGGCAAAATTGTTTCTTGAAAGGTCTATATAACCCGCAATATGTATTCGTGAGAGATCAGTGCTGTATAAGCTACAATTTTTGCGAGATGGATAGCAATGGATTTTAGTCCTCGTGTGACCCGAGAATGTTATTGCCTAAACCCGGAAATCATTAGTATTTCTCCCCATTTGTATACACCCATGAGCAATAAGAAACTGAAAGTCATAAAATATAATTTCCATGTGTGAGGAAAATTTGCACTGTAATTCGCGCTGATTCTCTCCGGCACAGACTTGTACACAACAACCTTCTTTTGGTTGACTAAGAAGCTCAACACTACTATTTTTTAAACCAAATTTTTAAACAGTGAATCGCAATAACTCAAATCTCCAAAAATGGTTAACCTCCATATAATTAAAAAAATCGAAGAAATCACTACAGGAATTCTCAATTTTGATTCTTGCCCCAGTTTTGTCGTAAGTTGATATGATTTTTTATGAGGAGCATGATAATTCCTGAAATATTTACATTCCTATAGTGATGGGAAACACGGGGGCCGAAAGTTGAATGTGGGAATGCTGATTGCTGACAAACGAAAACTGAAGCTTTTACTGCACCTCAATATCTAGAAAATACTATGTAAATGATCATGGCGAAGAAGGAAGAGTCCATCTAAAAAAATATACGTCTCACATTTCCTACAGGTGATTATTACCGTATTCTTCAATCTTGTTTATCCTGAATCATCAAATTTTCCGACGCTAGTTGCACAAAGTGATTTTGAAGGCTCATTATATGCTATATGTGTGATAGGACTGCTAGGCTAGAATTTCGCTGTTGGGGTAAAGTTAATACTGTACTTCCTCCGAGGTCAAATTTCCTGATTCTTGATCCACATCACACAAAAAACCAGGTTTATGTGGGTGATAAGGCTATAAGCATAGAAACTCAGAAGACGAAAAACCGTCCTACTTGGCGATGCATGCGTGATATATCATATTTCAAGGTGATTACCAGACATTTCCTTTGAAAATATTCTAATTTTGATTCTTGCCCCAGTTTTGGTGTGAGTTGATTTGATTTTTTATGAGGAGCATGTTAATTCCTGAAATATTTAAATTCCTATATAGTGATGGGAAACACGGGGGCCGAAAGTTTAATCTGTGAATGCTGATTGTTGATAAACGAAACCCCCAGGCAAGGGCACCGTTAGCCTGGGGAATGTTA